TTCTGACATATAATACAACTTGGTTAAGATTATTTATTCTAAACACTCTTTTATCAAAAAGTCATTTTTTGACGCTTATCGTCTCTAAATTGACTAGCCCAGATCTACAAGCATTACGTTTAACTTGAAAACTGGTCGTCCGACGAGACTTTTTGTTATCCCACTCGCTTTGATCGTGGTAAGCGAGAACCTCAACTTTGTGGAAGAATCCATAGAAATCCTAGACAGCGAAGCCGTTAGAACTAGTCAAATCCCCATCCCGATAGTGAAAGTCCGCTAAAATGCATAGTGAGGACCTGATTCACTTAAGAACGAGAGGATCATATGGAACATCAGTATCCGTACCTTTCACCTTTGTCCAAGTATATTCCTTAGACTTAATTTCGGGACGAAATTCCCTTTAACGGGGGGATGATGTGACAACCCGAAATTCCTATCTTGTAAGTCCAACAAATCCATCAAAAGTTCAGCTTTGTTTCTGCTATCTTCTAGCTGTGTTAAGATTCATACATATACTTTTAAGCTTTGTACACTTAAGGATTGAGTGTTATGAAGTATTAGCTCGAGATCAGAAGGCTACACCCGAACAAGAAACCCAACATATGAGGTTCACGGCCGCAAACCCTGTTTACGGCCGTGAACACTCTTTTGGCCGTGATCTCTCCCATATATATATATATATATATATATATATATATATATATATATATATGAGATTTCTTCATTTTTTATTCATTTCTCCAAGCTCCAGCCGTGAACTACCCATTCCCTCTCAAGGATCATCAAGTGAAGGCTCACTTTTCACTCCAAAACGTAAGCATCTCATCCCTATTCTTGTTTATGCTTGAAACCTCCTTTGATTACACCATTGATTCATCACTTTCATCATCATCTTCAAGCTCTTCAAGGGTTCACGGCCGTGAACCCTTCATAAGGGCCGTAAACCATTCATAGGATCTTGGGCCGTGAACCCTCCTAAGGTCGTGAACTCCTTGAGTTTGGCTGTGAACACCTTTCAGCCTTCTAGTTTCGATTCCAACACCTTGTTGCAAGTGTTTCCTACTACCTAAGGCCGTTTATTATGCATATTAGTTGTTATAGACACTAATTGTATGATTATATATGTTGTTATATGCTAATTAGGATCCATTGGTGCTTCGGGACTTCATTTGTGATCTCAAGCATCCTATATCTATCTTTCATAGCAATCACTCACTAGCAGGTGAGTTCATACCCCTAAATTTACCTTTTAATGATTTTAAATTCTTTTATGGGGGGGGGGGAATACAAGTAGAAAACAATATAGTTGTATAATCAATCACATATGATTTATAACTATCAAACTAAGAGATTTCTTATACTTCAAAACTGTGTTACCAAACAAACTATTTCAAATCCTTTTATAAACTGACATCAAGTCATCAATAATCATTCAAATAGTTAAAAATCTTTTTATATGATAAACTCTTTAAATATTTTACAAAACTCTTTTAAAGCTTTTATAAACTTCTTTTATATCAAATCATATTCGTCTATCTATTTACGTATAAGTATGATTTAATAGACGTAGGACTATTGCTAGATACATTGACTCTTGTTCCTTGTTTGGTTGTGGGCTCGGGGTAGGATCACTAGTCCGAATGTCGGTTAAATCATAGTTATACTTATTGAATAGATATGTGAATATTAAACCCATTTTAAGGATTATACTTAACTTAGTTGCTTGGTAAGTAATTGAGTCTTTTCTATACATCAGTAACAGTCAAACAACAGTACTAGTAAATTATAATAGGTATAGTTTAGAGGATTACTACTTACTATTTTCTAAAACAATGAAATCTACATGAATCAGTGCTTACATGAGTCAGTTCAAACATACAATAACTTGAACAGAAAGGAACATACAACAACTAGAACAGAAAGGAACATACAATAACTAGAACAGAAAGGAACATACAATAACAAGAACAGAAAGGAACATACAATAACAAGAACAGAAAGGAACATACATCATTTTACAAGAACAAGATAACATTAATGTGAAACCTCTACTTCACGGAATAGCAATATACTTGTTATGTCGCGTTTTGTAACCATAGTCTCATGGAGGGAGAGCGGGCATTGTGTGTATAGATCTATACGGGACCGACAATCCCACATCCCAACTGTTAGCTACAGTCCGGCAGGCAAGCCAAGGGGTGACAAATGTCACATCAGTTTCGACGCCAGCAGGTCGTCGTGTTAAACATTCGTCAATCGGTATGGTTATAACCACATCACATTTTAACCTTAATTAAACAAATTGGTTTTAAGATAGTTAGTGCTTCAGTAGTTACTTATTACAAACGTTACTGTACACTGTCATTTTCCCATTACATTCATATAGTGATCTTCTCACATAAAAGGTAGTAAACTATTTTCTGGTAATGATAATCAAATACTTGGGAAAACACTCATTTTTACAGAAGAACAAGCATACAAAACAGTTGGGTCTTGGTAGAAGACTACTTTCCATTTGTAGTAGAAAATATAGGATTTTCTAGGAAGTATACAAACATTTACATCAAAACACTTACAAACGTTTACATCAAAACACTTAGAAACAATTACATCAAAACACTTACAAACGCTTACATCAAAACACTTACAAACATTTTCATCAAACTTATGCAAACAATTGACACTAAAATACTTATGAACTCACCAACTTAAATGCTGATCTACTCTTTCAAAATAACTTGTATTCTCAAGTCACTAGTAGACAGGTACACTGGACCAGGTTTTGAGAAGACGGAGCATGTTCAAGACTCGTCTCTTATTTTGATATATATATTTTTGGTGTCTTACAAATACATTCAGAAAACACTTGTATTAACTATATTATTAATGCAATGGATGATGTTGTTGCTTGTTTTACTATTGAGCATTGGTATGATACTGAACATGACGTCCTGCCGTTCTGGTTTGGGGGTGTGACAGATTGGTATCAGAGCTTTGTTTATAGTGAATTGAGTATATCAACCCATAAAAGATATACAACTATAAACACGACGGGATTAAAATACTCTAACCAAGAGTTAATACTTTTAAAATAATAAAATATTTTAGTAAAGTATTCATATATACATTCATACTAGGATCATTGTCATACTAGAACAGAATAAAAGTAATTGGATGTTGGACACTATGGTTAAACCTGGACAGTTATGTAATCATATCTGGGATCAATATAGCCTGATCAACTATATTTATTTCAGATATGACCAACATGTGTTTGGGAGTGATTGTGGTGTTGCAACAAGTCTAAAACTTACCTAAGTACTAGAAAATTCTAGAATCAAACATAAAGTTAACATCGACAACTATGGACTTAGTGCCTGTTAGATAAACCCTGGCAGCGATGGACTTCATGCCTATTCCTTAGGAAGATGCTTAGGAATAAATGAATGAAGGATAGATGATTCTTAGGATGGATCCTTAAGAATAAAGAAGATAATGGGGATGAGTAATTGGGTTGATTGTTTGATGATTAAACATAATAATTATATTATTGTGGGTTGACAACCCTATGTGCTCACCAGGTCTCCCAACCTGACCCACTCAGTTTATTTGTATCACAAGTATCGATACGATGGTACATTACACTGAGAGATTAAAAGAGATGTAGATTACTAGTGTAAATGAATGTAAAGTCTGTTTATGCTTATGTTTCTGTATTGACAATGATATCCCAAAGTTTTAATATAAACAAAATACATTTATTTGGAAATGCTTTGATAATATGTTTATCATGTTTTTATGAGAACAAACTCCGCAACACTTTTCTTTAAAAAGATACTCTGATTTTAAAAAATAAAGCATAAACAAATCAGTTTTTTCTGGCTGTAAAAATGGGGATGCACAATCTAGCACTTGCATGGAGGGAAACTAGTGACCAAAAACCCAACTTTATGACTTAACACCCCTTAAAACCTCTGAAAGGGCAACTCAAATGCCTTGGAGTACCTTCTACTAACAAAGACCAAGTTTGGGACAAAAAAGGAAGCAACTTTCAGCAAAAGCTAGATCCACAAGATTTCTACATCAAGGTTGAAATTTTTTACCTCCACAAGGTGCACAAAAAGGGACAAGATGTTGGATCTAAAGCCTTGAGTGAAACACCACCACCTCAATGTTCTTCCTCCTACTCCAAAAGCTCCAAATGGCACCAAAAATGGCTCAACAAGCTTCATAATGACAAACACTCTTTAGGGTTTCGACATGAGGAGGGAGGTTGAAGATAAGAAGGTGCACAAGACCATAAATGTGTTTAAATAGGGTCCAAACCCTAAAATTTAGGGTTTGCACTCTGGCTGCGTACACCCAACGTATGCGTTGCGTACCAAGGTGATTCGGAGTACGCTCAACGTATGAGGGTGTACGCCCCGCGTACTCCAACGAATCCGAAATTACGAAATTGCCAACGGGGACTAAATTGCAAATGGAGCATAAGTCAAGGGTTAAAACGAATACCAAAATAATAGATGCCCCTCAATGGTTCAAGTCGTGTGTGAAACCTAAGGTGAAATTATGAGCAATTTATGAATAAATTAAATGCGGTTTGAAAACTATTTTTTTAAAAAAATGTAAGACAAATAGCTATTTTTATCATTTTCTTTTATAAAAATAAGCTGACCTAATTAACATAAACAAAACATAATAACTTATGGTGGCATGATCCATACATTGAATGTCATATGGTCAAAAATAACAACGAGTTATTTTTGGTAAAAAGAAATGGTAATGGTGCGGGAAAGACGGGTGTGGTGGTGGGCATGTTTAGAGTTGTCACAAGGTCACTGAAACCCAGGCCTTTCCTGATTTTGCAGTCTTCCCAAACCCTTGTTTGGATTCCTCGAACCTTAAAATGGCAAAACAATTCCATATTATAATAAAATATAAAACAAAAAACAAACACAACTTGTTTTCGAAAATATTGTGTATCAAGAAACTGGATCCGGTGGCCGACCATAACACAACACAACACAACCCCATGTTAAAACAACGGCTTAGATTACAAAACTACCATTAAATCCAATGGCTACACCACGATGAAACTTGGCTTCACCATCAATCTCACAAATCCCCTATTCCCATTTCTCTAAAACTCTCAGATTCGCTGTTGTTATCGCACAAACCTTTACGTATAACCCGTATCTTTATACATAATACTATAAAGTTTGTGTCTTTTTCGAAAAACAGAGTGAAGATGCAATCCGGGAATGATGGCGGGTCTGATCAGCAACAACAAACGCAGAAAACCCAGCCAGCGGTTCCGACAACGACGACAGGAGCAGCGGCGGGGATGGGTGTGGGTGTGGGTCTAGGGCAGCAGCAGTGGGTGGCGATGCAGTACCCTGCGGCGGCGATGTTAATGCAGCATCAGATGATGGCACCGTCTCCGGCTAATTACCAAGTAACGCCACACTACATGCCGTACCACCCGCACCACCTCCACCACCAGCCGCATACTCCGGTGGTTCAACAGCCGCAGCAGGGATCCGGTGGAGGAGACAACAAGGCGATCTGGGTTGGTGACCTTCACAGTTGGATGGATGAGGATTACCTCCGTAACTGTTTTGCTTCCACCGGCGAGGTCCTTTTTATAATCTCTATCCTTATTTACATTGCTTCTCAGTTCTCAATCTAATAAACCTTCTATGCAATTATTATCTCAATTGGTCATATCTTGTGGTAATTAATGTGATTTATTTGGGTTTTGTTCATCAAAGAGGAACATTACTCACATGTGTTGCTCATTAAGCTTTTAATTTGGGATTCTATTAGAAAGAAAGATCCATCTGGATTTTTTATATCGATATGCAACTAAAATTGCTTAAAATTTAATCACTTGTGATGGTATGTTCTTGATTTTTTCTCATACTAGTGTATTCCAGTGATAATCGTTGAAATAAAAGTTTTTTTTTTTCTTGACATTATTAGTAGATATATTTTGCCAGACTAGATATCTATTTTAGCATGTCTTTCATTTTGTTGTCTCACTGTTTTTGTTTCTTTTTCACACAACAAAAAGATTTTAAATAGTACAAGACTAAGTATTGTCTTTAAAGTTATGTTAATTTAAACTTTAAAAAAAAAAAAAAAGAACTGTTATGTACCCTAATCTGACTGAGAAACAGTCGTCACCTATAATTGACAGCAAGTCATTCCTGTCGCTATATATATTGCTTTCACAAAAATAAAAAGAAGATTTTAAATAGTGCAAGATTAATAGGATGTTTTTTTTTACATAATGGGTTAATCACTTAATGTGAACAGATATACATGGTTGTTTTTTTTTTACTTAATCCGGACAGAATGACTTAATACTTTAAGCCATAATATCGGCTTAATGTATCAATACACTAACCTTTTATTTATTTGCAATTTCTTCATTTTTCCCCCAACTCCTCTCATGTTAAAATTGACGAATACTATGAAGTTTGGTTTTTGGAGTGTAAGGGTAAAGTGGTTAATTTGGAAAAAGAAAAAAAAAGGAAAAAAAAATCAGCCCCTGATAACATCTAACTAGATTTTTTAAAAATCTTACTGTAGGTTACGTCAATTAAGGTTGTTCGCAATAAGCAGACAGGTATCTCAGAGGGATATGGGTTTGTTGAGTTTTTTTCACATGCTGCAGCAGAAAAGGTGTTGCAGAATTATGGTCACATTGTTATGCCTAATACAGACCAACCGTTTCGTTTGAACTGGGCTACATTTAGCACGGGAGACAAACGTTCAAATAACAACGGTTCTGATCTTTCTATTTTCGTAGGAGATTTAGCTGCAGACGTAACTGACGCGTTATTACATGAAACTTTTGCCAATAAATATCCATCCGTTAAAGCTGCTAAAGTCGTTATTGATATTAATACTGGCCGCTCTAAAGGGTATGGATTTGTAAGATTTGGAGACGATAATGAGCGGACCCAAGCCATGACTGAAATGAATGGGACTTACTGTTCGACTAGACCTATGCGTATTGGTGCTGCAACCCCGAGAAAATCTTCTGCTTTCCAACAAGGTACTGTGTTTGGTATGCATTGGACTATGACTGAAACCGATGTCAGTGGTGCAAAAATTCAAATTTTTTGTTCCATTCTAAAAGGTGCAAAAGACGTGAATGCTTTCCTCGTCTTCGTCATAGAAATTAGCCCTAGAAAAATTTGTCGAGTACCGTTACACAGGATGGTACTATACAAACTTTCTAGGGCTCTTTTGGATGATGGAAACAAGGAGGGCATTCACGTTTTTTGCACAGATAAGAGATCAAGAGCGAGTTGTGCACCCGCCATGTTCCACCTTTATTAATGGGACAAAAAAATGTATTTTTTGTCCCATTGAGTCCGTCCTGGTCTCCGCTGGAGACCAGGACTATGTTGGTAGGATGAGACTGGCAGACTGGAGTCTTTTGTCCTATCCAAAAGGTAGTGTAGAGACTTGCTCTCGATATCTTGTATGTGGAAAAGACATGTATTCCCTTCTCATCATCATTCTAGAAATAGCCCTAGAAAACTTGTCTAGTTAAAGTGCTGCAGAAGTAGTTGAGATCTTGATTTGGTGGTGGCTTTTTGATTCCTAGGAGGTTATATGTCGAATGGTGGCTCGCAAAACGATGGAGATTCTACTAATACGACAGTCAGTTCCCAACTTCTCCACTTATTTTATAAATTTTATTGTGAAACAGTCATTCATATTCTCTTTGATTAACCGTTGATTGGTTCTAGATTTTTGTGGGAGGGCTTGATCCAACGGTTAGTGATGAAGATCTTAGGCAGCCATTCACGGAATATGGTGAGATTCTTTCCGTAAAAATACCAGTTGGTAAAGGTTGTGGATTTGTACAGTTTGCTAACAGGTTAAATTTCCTTCTTTTTACCAACTCTTTTTGTCCCAAAATTTTCCTTTTTCGTAATAATTAATTTTGTATTGTTACTCTTTTTAACTTCTATTCATAGAAATAATGCTGAGGAGGCACTGCAAAAATTAAACGGGACAGCAATAGGGAAACAAACAGTTCGCCTTTCTTGGGGACGCAACCCCGCAAATAAGCAGGTATGCTCTTAGTAATGTTGGGTAACAATGGACTCTAAATAACTAGAAATATATTTTTGTTATAATCTTATTTGGGTAACAATTTACTCTATAAATAACTAGAAATATATAGTTTTTAATTCGGTTCTTGAAATTTGCAGTTGAGAAATGATTTTGGGAATCAATGGCCAGCAACAGCATGCTATGGTGGTCAGATTTATGATGGATATGGTTATGCTCTTCAAGCACCACATGACCCAAGCATGTATGCTGCAGCATATGGATCATATGCTATGTATGGTACTCACCAGCAACAAGTAAGCTAAATGGGTGGGGGGATAAAATTTTGAGTAAAGACTCTATTAGTTGATTATCTTAGGGATATTGGCAAACTGGATTTATTTTTTCATTTATTTGCAAGTGTGGGATTCAATTTGGAACCTTTTTGATCGTAATAATCTAACTTGCAGAATTTGATGTGGCCATTTGGTTGTGTTTAAATCTATTCTCCTGTTCAATGTTGATGCAAAGTTCTATCAACCCAGTTGTGTATAATTTTGTACAAGTCCATTTTCATGTCATTTAAATAATGAGTATATAATTGACCACATTACAAATGTCTATTGGACCAACTTTAGTTTGACAAGTAAAATGGTTGATGCCAACTAACGAACATCAGAGACAAAATACGGTTAGGGTTTCGTTATTATAAAATAACTAGGCGAATACCTGTGCGTGTTGCACAAAATACAATTGTAAATTTAAAATATATGTTGTTTAAATATAAAAATATCATAGTTAACTTTGATATAATAATTCTTATACTATTTAGTATAAAATATTAATTATTTTGAATTATATGATCATATTAAATCTATTAAAACTATATAGGCTTAATCGTCATTTTAAAAACTACATTTGATTAACTTTTTAATTTTTATTACTATAGTTATTTAAAACATCAAACATTGTTTTTATTTTTATAAGTTACAATATTATTTTTAACTATTATCGTTATAAGTTATTTGTAACATACTTATTTAGAAATTATTAATGTTTATAAATAGTTTTAGGAAATATTTTAATTGATTTGAGATTACAATTTAGTTTTTACATTTAACACTATAATTTATAACTTAAAACTATTTACAAAATAGTCATTGGATTTTCTTTAAGTTTAATTGAAAATTTCATTTAAGTTAGTACTTTAACACTGTATTTAAATTAACAATTTAAGTATTTTATACAAATTATTCAAAAGTTATGATTTTAAACTGACAATTTAAGAAATAACATATCAAAACTAAGTATATGTAAAATATGTTAATTTAATATTCAAATTTAGTTAATTTTAGGATTACAATTAGCGTTTTACACCTATTTAACATTATTAACCAATATATAATGATTATTGTAAAGAAATTGAAAAGTAATGAGAATTTCAAATACATGCGGTAAAAAGAAAAATATATCTTTCAGATTTACATGGAAAATTTAAAATATTTACAACTTTTACTTAGTTACTTTTTTGAAGCGGTACAAAACAAACGATAATATTTAACATATCTAATTAAATATTATCTACATCACAGTATATAACATATGATCGATAACATCTATCTGGTCTAATATATATTAACGATTAAAGCACAACATACACAATTGTATTAAAAGAATCCAAAACCAAGAAAAATATATAAATAATTAGTATATAACAAACTTACAATTTAAAAGCTATAACATAATAATATATCTCTAAAAGTGGTCATAAGACCTCAAACCAATAAAAAAAACTTTAAGCTTGTTTCTTTATGAAGTTTGTATGTGATTTGTATGCATGTCTACCCAAAAGATTGATCCTTTTATAGTAAACGTTTCATTAAGTGCTTATTAATCATAATATAAGTTATAAAATCTTTGAGTGGTAAATCATTATTAAGAAGACTTTTGAGTTGTATTAGTTAAAAGATTGAGGTTTCAAATGAATGTGGTGTGAGCAAAAATGATTTTATATAGTTTTGGGAGTTTCAAATGCATGAGGTTCAAGGAAAAATGCTAGCTTTATAAGATATATAGATATAGATAGATATAGATAGATAGATATAGATAGATAGATAGATAGAAATTACAATTACAATGAAAGAAAGATTATATAAAATATGAAAGCTAATTAGGTTAAACCTTACTAAAAGGTTAAAGGGCCAAACATTAGGCCCAAACCCAAAAGGGTCTAATAGATTAATTAGGCTAACAGTTGAAAGTGCTATATTAATCGATAATATGTCTAGGCAAGGCTCCATGTATAATGAAACCCCATGCCACTCATAAACTTCATATACCGTATATACAAAAGTTTCCAACTCATATATGAAAATAATGCCCAACTAATAACAATGAGAATAACCTACACCAACGCAAATGCTTATCTAATAAACATTTAATATAATAAAATAATAGTCTAATACACCACCTCGATCAAGCTGGAGCTGATCGAATGCTCAAGTTGTCTCAAACGTCTTCAAACAAAATCTATACAAGTCCATTGCTAAATATGTCAACGATCTGGTATCGGGAAGGAACATGACGCATTCATGCATGACCTTTGGCAACCAAATCTCAAACGAAATACATGTCTATTTCGATGTATTGAAATATTTTGTTTGTTGGTGTTGAATGTGTTTTCCCGAGAGATAAATGACACTCACATTGTCACAATAAACAATGGTACCTTTTGTAATGGGTAATCAGAGTTCAAGAAGTAAGTTCTAAATCCAACATGTTTCTGATACGACATTAGCAATCCTTTGATATTCGGTCTTGACACTAGAATGCGATATCATAGATTGAAGTTTAGATGACCAAGAAGTGAGATTATCACCAAGAAAAACAAAGTATTCGAATGTAGATCGATGTGTGTCGGGATAACGTGTCCAGTCGATATCAGTGCATGCAAGTAGTTGTCTACAAGGGGTGTTTTATATATATATATATATATATATATATATATATATATATATATATATATATATATATATTTGCTTAGGTTATTCTATTCAAAGTAATTATTGTGTTATTGTATGCATAAATATGGGCCAATCATTTTAATTATTTTAAGAAAGGGATTAATACATATTATTGAATTAAAAATAATCGAAAAATACCATCTAATTTAACTAGAATGGTATTTTAGTCAATTTATGTAGATTTAATAAAGGAAATTTGCATATTTTAAGGGATCATAGATTCTATTAATTTTAAAAATCCGATTTTACGAATTATAAGGTTTTTAATTCGGATATTCTGATAAAATATGTTTGAGTATGTTAAAAAAAATATATTCTAGAACCATAAAATAATAAAAATATTCTTGAACATATTTCTTGTAGAATAACAAATTCTCGAATCAGCAATTGAAGAAATAAAACAAAAATTATATTAATTCTTATAGAATACATGTAACAATTGCTAAGAATTACATTTGTTGTTAAAGAATAACACTAAAAAATTGTCAAATCGGGAAAAAAACATCAAAATCTAACAAATACACTAATTTATTCTAAAAGAATAATGTTGCTAAGAGGCGTCATTCAAATTTTGTGGTCCGTTCTTCAAGCATCAGCTTCTGTGGAAACAAATCCAATGAATAAATTAGTGAGAAAATATCCATATTCCATTCCAGCATAATAGGAATTCGTGATTCCATTCTGATAGAATTGGAATTCATTTACCAATAATTATATTAATTCGGGGTATTCTAACAGAATATGTTCATGATTATCACAAAAAACATTCTTTTCTTATAGAATATTATAAACGAAGAAATACCATTCAGTTGAAACATTTTAGCGAACGCTTGGTGTGCATCAAAACAACTTTCAATTTCCTGTAAAAATTAGACAATCATAACAAATTCCCAATAAACCTAAACACATCGAGTCTATCAAAAACCATTGTACCTTACATTCGTTTCTATCAGATTATCGTTAATCTATGCCTTGGAGCTTGTAAATGTAATCAATTTTGCACAGGTTTCGTTCAATGTCATCATTCAAGACTGTATTTTTGAATCATCCAACAGAAGATTCCTAATTTCGTACATTTTTATTGGGGATTTTGTTTGGGATGGATCAATAACGAAAACTAGGGCTCTTCTGCCAATTCGAACTCAAAGAACACCCGATCGATCGACCTACATGTCTATGAAATATTAAATGCTAACAGATTATACAAACTGAGCATTCGTCACTGGAAATAAAACCGCTTATTGATATGACTAATATCTATTAACAACCTCGATTAACTCAGAGAGCAGAGCCACAAAAGGGGCAAAACCTGAAATCAGAATCGACCTTCCGTGCGCAGAATTGACATCGGAGGCTTTCCGATGGCCGAAAGTCGGAAGAAATCGGAGACAACGACGGCGGATAGAATAGGCCGCAATTCTTGCAGTGCATGAGTTGGTCTTTTCCTGGCCACCGCCAAACCGGGACGAAAAAGAGCTTTAAGACGTTATTGGTATCGACAAGATCCGCCGGTGACAGGCAATTAATACACCTTCCCGCTTCTTGCTTCAGCACTTGGCGGACCTAGGTAGATGGTGGTTTTAAAAAGCCGATGGATGGAGAAACCCTAGGTAATTGAAGTCAATGGTTACCATAATTATAGAGTATTATTTGTGGAAACTAATTATCAAATTACCTATTTACCCTTATTTATTTATTTAATTATTATTTTTTTTTTAATTTTGATCGGCCCACATTTATGCATACAATAACACAATAATTACTTTAAACACCTAAACCTAGGTTATATATATATATATATATATATATATATATATATATATATATTGTACACCCATAATTAATAATACCCCGAACATAATCTAAGACACGTTTTAAGAAAACCATGTGAGAGTCACAAGGTGCATATATGTGGAGACAAATATGTTTGAAGTGCATATAAGATATTTGGACCGGTAATTATGATATATTAAAGTGCACCAGCGATGTTGTGATAAAGTGTGGGGCTGGTGTAAGGCATTTCATATGTTGTACTAACTTTCCATTTGGTATCGATTGGAGTGGGTGTATGCAAGAGGTCATGTCGACTCATTCTATAACTTACACAACATATTTCTTTTGACACACAAATTGAACGTCCTAAATTTTCAAATAAAATTTTCATTTTTAAAATAAAATTAAACATCCAAAGTTCTATCATTTAACAAGTTAACAACCATTTGTTTCAATACCTGATATATTAAATTAGGCCCAAAGTTCATGATTTAATTAGAATGTCTGAAATGTCATATTTTGGATTAATGATTATGGAATATAAGTCCAAAATTTTAGACTGCCACATAAATGATTATGGATGTACGATTGCCCAAAATGTCATATTCCGGATTATCTTATGTTACCTTTCAACCTTTCAACGATCTTCCATAACAAGATTGAGTTAATCCGAAATATAATGATTCAAA